GGGCCGCGGGGGTCGAGAGGATTGAGAGGGCCGGTGGGAGTAGATGTCGCCAGGTGAGAAGCGCTCGGGGCCTGAGGTTCGCAGACCTTCGGGACCGTCCAGACCCGGGCGGGCAGAAGAGAACGCCAGCCCCGCAGCACTCCAGGCGGGCGCGCTCGCCGCCTCTCGCTCCCGCCCAGCCCCAGCCCGGCCTCCATCTGGCGCCCGGTCTTCCCAGGCAGGGAGCTCCGGGGCCTAGCGGAGTGCGCTCGGTCTGCGGAGGATCCCCGTTTGCCCGGCTGAGTGGTCGGGCACAGGCGTGGCGAGGGGAGGCGCGGGGCTTCCAAGGCACTTGGAGATCCGTCACCACCCCCCATCCCCCGGGACCGCGAGCTCTCCAGGCCCAACTGTTCGGGCTGCTCCTAACAGACCTCTCCCTGTGCACTTGGGCACCGCGGCCCCTCCGCAGGCGCCTGGGCTGGCGAGGAGTAGGAGGAGCCCTGCGCCCCTCGCGGTGGCAGCGCGCGCCCGCCCTCGCGGTGTCTCGGCTCCCGTGCGGAGCAGTTTCCCGCTCCAGTCCGTCTGCAGATCCCACGAGGGCTCGCCCTATGGGCCACGCGGCTGTGGCTCCGCCTGTTTCTCCGAGCTGGAACTGAGAGGGCAGCGCAGGTGCTAAGGGTCACGTTTCCTGGCCTTCGGGCTTTCGAGAACGTTTTCCAACTCCCTGGAGGAAATGCAAAAGAGGGGGAAAAAAAAAAGCCCCCTCCTCTTCACGCTTCTGGCTTGCGGTTGTTTTGTTTCTGCTACTTTGGGGGGGGGTGGGAAGACAAAAAGCAAACTTTCTACATAAGAATGTCGTAGCACACACAGCGCCGCAAAGGGTTTCTTCTTCGGGGCTGTAGAAAAACCCTCTGTCCTGCTTTCTGCATGGTCAAGGAGCAGAATAATGAAACCAAAGACTTTTATTTTATAAACCACTTGATCTTTGCTTGGGAAACTCTATTAATTGAATGGGTTTGCCTTTTTTGCCAGTCTCCTTTATCATTATTTATGGGCTTTAAATTGTTTAAAGTTCCCTTGACGTTCAATTTACAAGTTTGGGGACTTTTTTTGTTCTGCCTTTTGTCCTGGAGAAAGACATCGTGTTGGAAGTGCTTTGAAAAGCCAAACATGAGAGGTTGGCAGTGAAAGGGAAGCGGGTGAGATCCCTTTTACTTCTGTCCCGTTGGTGAATGGCTCTTTTACATAATTGCAGAGCTATTTCAAAGCCAGCCAAGGGCTGACTTCACTTAGAACCACATGGAGTCTATTTTGGGCTTTCAGATTAAAAAAAAAAAGCGCTGAATAAAATAGTTTAAAAAGATGAGCCTTCAACGCTTTCTGCTACTTGCAAATCGGTGTGTCTGAGGGGGAGTTTTACACAAGCACCCCTTTGTAAGTGCGTCTTGGGCGAGGGAGGGCCTGTTCTGGGTTAGCTGGGTGTGAATCCCAACTGCCCTTCCATAAATAAAACCCAACCCAAGTTATTTCCCAACTATTGCCCGGAGCAAGAGCTCTGACAATGACCGAAAGATCAGGCCACTCAAAATTCCTATAAATAAAAACAATCTGGTTGCCCTAGAAACTGGCCTGTCCCTGAGAGTAAGCGGAGGGCGGGAGCACTAGGCCTTCGAGGCTCACAGGTCTTCCCGTGTCCACAGGTGCCCGGGCACCTGCACCTGCTAACCCCACGACCACCAGCAATCTCTCCCCTGGAAGCAGCATGGAAGGGTGACGTTCCCGTGCTTGGTCCCTCAGGACGAGCTTGTGAGGCTGCCCCAAGTTTACTATTTAAAGTGTCACACACTTGTGTGTTTTCTATTTCACACTCAGCCTTTATACACCTGCATGCAACTGCTAACTGGGACAGCCATGAAGCTGGAGCCAGCTTAATTACCAGCACTGCTACTGAACTTCTGAGGTTTAAAGTGGCTTAATACTAATAGGTAGCTTGGCCCCTGTCGAGTAAACCGCCCCGGGCCTGGGCTATTTTCATCTGGGCAGGAGGCTGCCCAGGAAAAAAGTGGGAGGAAGTTAAATGCAGTTTGAGGGCCCAGCTCTCCCTTCCGGATATGGCTCATTTTTGCAGTTGGAGGCGCGTAGAGTGCTGAAGGATAAACTGCGAAGATCTGTACAGGGGTCTTCTGTACAGGGGTCTTCTCGCGCTGCACTTTCAGGCAGTTAGGAGTCGAGCAGGTAGGAATCCGGAATCTGGGGAAGGAAGAAGCCTTGTGCTTGCCTCTCACTGTCCACAAATCTCTCTGAGGAGCTGAGGAAAAACTGGAATTCGCAGCCCTCAGGCTCTGAACGCCTTGCAGGTAACTGAGGAGCCGGGAAACTCTTGTTAATCACAGCCAAACACAATGATCCTTTGATAATATGAACAGTCCAACAGTCGTTAGCTAAGCAGTTAGGTATTCAATGAGAAAATATTACTGCATTGCATTTGAGAAAAAGCACACCAGTAAATAAAATGCATATTGATGAGAATTTTCTGAACTCACTAATAAAAAAAGATTAGTATTATAACCCCTACAGTCAATACTTTCTGAGGCAATTTATGGATGCAGATAATAAGCCATCAAATTATTTCAAGTGTAGCTGTGATCCGACGGATCTAAATCTTCTCACTGAACTTTACATGTAGAATTACCACCAAAATACTCAAAGGAATCACCCGTCTCAGGTGACAAAAGTCCCTCGAACAATATATTTGCCACCGAATAGTAAAGTGGCAAGCCTTCCTGGGTAACATGAGTAACAGCTGACGCGGGCATGCCGGTGGAAGGCAGCGAGGGCCCCAGCTGTAGCCACGTAAATCAAGGAGGGACGGCGCGCTCGCTCGCTTAGTATTCAGGAAACAAGGCAATGGCGGCAGCCGCATTACTGTAACTGTCTCATAATGAGAGGGGTATTTATTATGCTCATAAAGAAACCAGCCTTTTGCCCTGGGCTGCTGCCCCCTCTTCTTCCCTTTTGCTCTCTTTCCTTTTTCTTCCTTTGCGGGAGTGGAGGCCAGGGATACAGCTGGGAGACCCACGGACACCTTCCGGGTGGGTCCCAGTGGGAATTCATTTCCTCTCTGGCCGCCTAAGCCACCCCGGGCCTGGGCGTGAGACGAGTGAGGCAATACAGGCGAGTCCTAATGAATTCCTTTCAAACCGCCTGCTGCCGGAGCTATCTATTACTCGGCCTAGAGTGGGGACCCGCGCCCGAGACGTCTTTGTCCGGGTGACGGTGGGGAGGAGGGAGGAGGTAGACGAGGACGGCTGGCGGCGGCCCGTGAGTTTTCCCAACGCCCCGGGGCGCCAAGAACGCACCCCCCCTTTTTCCTGTAGGGCCCGCTGGGTGGCCAGTGGGTCCCGGCCAGACGCCCCGCTGAAAAGGAGGTCTGGGATTAAGATGTCCCCCCACCCCGGGGGCCTTAGGGTCAGAGAGAAAGAAAAAGGAAGAACGAGAAAGAAAAGCTTCAAAGAATTGGGTCGATAAATTCATAACGATCGATTTATCTTTATCTCCCAATTAAATGTGCTTGTAAGTGATACGTAACACACGTCCAACACGGGCCGACTCCCCGTCACTAGCTCCTCGGCGTGAGCTGATTTTTTAATGACCAGTGTTAACAATGCCCCCTCTCTCCTCCCCCGCCCGGTGCCTATGGCGGTCTAGACCGGGAAAGTTGAATCGGGGCCCGGAAGGCGCGTGGAAGCCCCGCGCGCGCTGGTGCGCTTCGCGTGGTCATCCTTTGCCACGAAATTATTCCATTTTTAAAAGGAACGCAAGGGCTGAAAGTTTTCGTTTTAATATGTGGGGAGGTAAAAGCATCCCTTGTTTCCCTCCACCCGCTCAAATCCTCCAGTACCCAAATTCCGGGATCTTTACCGGTGCCGAGGACAGGGAAACATCTTGAGGGAATCGGCTCCATCCCGTAGTCCGCAAAGGCGAACCGCGCGCCCTCGAGTGCTCGCGCTGGAAACCGGGCGGCGACGCCAGGGTGAGCGCTCCCTCCGCTCCCAACGTGCTTAATTAGCGCCTATTTACAAAACGCAGCTTTTATTTGAGCAAACATCATAAAGCTTTCATCAGGATAATCTCACGTTATACAATCTGGAGGCATAGCAACTCCCCCCTTCCTCCCCGAGGATGGAGCAGATAAAGGACTCGCTTTATTATCATAATTATCGTGGTTGTTATTTTGGTGCGCGCTGGCAAAGTGTGTAAATAGGTGCGGTGATTAGGAGTGTCATGAAAAATGACAGTAGGGATCGCTCACGGAAGGGCCCAGCTCGGGATGGGAAACCAGCGGCCTCCCCGCCCCACCCAGTAGCGCCAGGGAGCAGAGAGACCCCGGAGGAGTCCCCGCAGCTGTCAGCTTCCGGATGGCGCCTTGGGGGCGGATCTGTCAGGGAAGGACCCTGATTCCAACTCCCGGAACCATGCCCGGACCCCTGGTGCAGCCGGAGCACCCAGTGCTAGGGTGAGCCGCGGGGCTGGTTTACTCTTTGCAAATATGAAAGTCTCTAGCTATGACGCGGCGGGTGGAAGCCCCAGAAGTTGCTCTCGAGGTGGCATCGAGAAGGCTGCTGGGCTCCAGTGTCCAAGTTGTGGAGGTACCAAAGGTCCCTCTCAAGTTGGCGCGGGCGGGGAGCCCAGGCTCAGGCTCTGGGCTCTGCGCTCTCCGACGGTGGCGCCCGAAGCCCGCTAGCCGCCAGCCAGAGTAGAAGAGGCGGAGCCTCCGTTTAGCTCCGCCCCATATCGGTGCAGCCAATGGGAGGCGGCTCCCAGCCCCACGTGAGGCAAGCTCGGCCCGGCAGCAGGCAAAATGTGAATGAGAAAGAGGAGCGCGATTTAAAGGTGCTGGCGGCGCCCGCCGGAGACAAGCGCGCCGGCTTCCCGCGCTCCCCAGCGGCCCGCGGGAGGCGACGGACGGACCGACGGACGAACAAACGGGCGCACGGACGGCTGCTAGCCAGGGCAAAGAGCAGCAGAACCAAGAGCGCGGGCTCCGACGGGCAAGCGACCGGCAGCGGCTCCAACGAGCCTGCGGGGCGCGGGCGCCCTCTTCCCTCTGGGGTGCACCGCCTCACCCCCCACACCGCCCGCACCTGTGCTGGCCTGGCATGCAGCGGGGCCAGGGCTGAGGGGCCGCGGCTTCTGTCCTCCGGCTCCCCCTCGACCCCTGCTCCGCGCTCCCGGCGTTGCTCCGGGCGTCCGGCGGGCTTCCTGGCGGCGGGGCGGAGCGGGGGCTTTTCGCCCCCCCCTCGC